TCACAACACCTGACTACGATACGCTTATGGTATGTAGAACACACCCCATACGCTTTTGCAATGCTGACTCTTTTAGGTTATCCAAGCTGTGCGCCGCCTTTACAACTCCAAAGGCACGAAGCTTCCTCTTCCCAGGATCGTGGAACTTAATCGCCGCCTCGTCCAGGGTTATGAACGCTACAAAGACGACCCTCGCATCGTCGAACTCAAGAAGGAAGTCACCACCTACAATGGCAAGCTTAAGGCGCTCGGCCTCCGGGATCACCAGGTGCAATACGCCAAGATGCATCCTATTACGGCATTTGGGCTTTTCTTCTACCGTCTTGGAAAGCTGCTCTTCCTGAGCATGCTAGTCCTTCCCGGAACTCTGCTCTTCAGCTTGGTCTTCATTGTCACTAAGGTTGTCTCGATCAAGAAGGCCAGAGAGGCACTCGCTGCATCAAACGTCAAGGTTCAAGCCAGAGATGTCATGGCTACGTGGAAACTTCTTGTTGCCATGGCTGCCGCTCCAACAGCTTACGCTTGGTATGTTTGCTTGGGACTCTACTGGTACTCCTACAACCAATGCAACGGATATCTTCCCGCTGGCATTCAGAAGCGCTGGCTCATCATCCCCCAACTCGTCGTCTACGTCACCCTCACATACGGCGCTCTCCGATTCGGCGAAGTCGCTATGGATATCCTCAAGTCCCTCGGTCCCCTTTGGAAGATGATGAACCCCTTCTCCAACAACGAACTAGTCAAATTACAAGAGCGCCGTGAGAACCTCGCGCAGCGTGTGAACGACATCATCAACGAACTCGGTCCGGAGATGTACGAGGACTTTCACTCGAAACGCATCGTCGAGGATCCCTTCGTCAAGCAAGAGCGTCCCCGCACACCACCGCAAAAGTCGGACGAAGACGCGGAAAGAGAAGCAGGCCAGGACATCGAAACCTACGACTACCCCACCTCACCCGGATCCATCAACGAGATACCACGCAACGAATCGTTTCACGACCTCGCCAACCAAGACTTCTTCTCTAGTCGGCCGCAGACGCCGAAGAAGAGCCGTAGCAGGAATAGCAGCAGTGCGAACCTTGGCGGCTTCCAGCTCAAGCCTTTCAGTACTATTGACGGTAACCTCGATGAGGTGAAGAGAAGGCTAACAGATGGTGTCAAACAAAGGACGAGGAAAAGAAGGAGTAGCGGAGAAGGAAGCTGGGATGACGGCGAAGATGGCGAGGGCCTGACAATGGGAGGAAGGAAAGAGCGCTCGTATACCAAGTAGTTTTTGGTCGTGATGGTCGTTTGGATGAGCGGCGTGTCGGTTTTGCTTGTGCGTTAGTACTAAAGATACCACTTTCCTTTCTTCTCCTCAGCGGTTGAAAATTGGATATGTTATGCATGAAATACGATTTGCTTGCTATGCTTGGTTGTAATGCTACGCTGTGTTGTGGTTGTGCTATGCTAAGTACTCTTGTAATATCATCGCTTGTACATCGTTCGCCCTGCCTACAAATATGCCTGAATCAATAGTCGAGAAGAAGTTACGGATATCTCCATCCAAAAAATGCCAAATCATGCAGAACGCTGTGCCCAAAATCCAACCTTTCCTCCTGCAAAAGTGGTATCTTGCCTTTCCTTTCTTACCGAATCCAAATCATCGCCATCTTGCCCCCAAATCAGTACGTGACACAAAGAAAATTTCTCTACCCAACAACAGCCTTCTGACTCAGTTTCTCCAAAAACCCACTGAGATCCTCCTTCTTAATCTCAATCACACACGCCTCGAAACTGTCCATTCGTACTCGGGCTCCCGTTTCCCTGACAACCTCTTGGAACGCATTACCGAATCGATTCCTGCCGGACCCCCTTTCCTCATCTTCATCTTCACTATCCTCAGAGTCGTTATCCGAAGAATCAGATTCTTCGGCTTCAGACTCCGAGTCATCAGCGACTTCATCTTCTTCAAGCCCAGCAGCCAGATTCCGCGCCACACGTGCTTTGCGGCGGGACTCTCTCGCTTCAGCCTTTTGCGCTTGTCGCGCCTCTTTAGCTTTGAGTTTCGCTTCGCGTTTCTGAAGGCGTGATTTAGCAGATTCAGTTGCGCCGCCGCCGCCGAGACCGACGACAACGTAGAGACCGCGGGAGTCGTCGAGACCCGCCATGACGAGCTCGCTGCCTTTGTTTTTTCCTTTTGTGCCGTTGAGTTCAACGATGGCTTCGGCGATCCAGAGGGCGAGTTTGGTGAGGGCGCCTGGGTGGGTGAAGAGCTGGACGTCGGGGCCTTCTTTAACGACGGCCATGCGGAAGGCGCGCAGGTGACGGATCTGTTTCTTCTCGATTAGGGCGGTTCCTGTGCGCAGGATGGCGCGGTGGAGGTGTTGGGCTGTGCTGATGTGCTCGACTAGGCGGTCGATGTCGCCGAGGGCATCGTAGGCGGTCCAGAAGCGGCTGGTGATGTGTTCTTGGGCGAGGTCTTGTTGTTCTTGCGTGGAGGAGGGCATCTCGGTGTGGTCGTTGGCTCCGACGAAGTTGGAGCTGTCGAGGGCGGATTGGTTGAGGTTCTTTGCGTCGCCGACTTCTAGGATGGCTCCTAGGATTACGCCGGCGTCGATGGCGGAGAGACATGCTTTCCAGCCCCAGCAGCGTACAAAACCCCATCCGTCTTTGGGGTCGCCTGTACCTGACTTTGGTGGTACCAGGCCATCGAGACCGTATTGTGGAGCGAACTTCAGAAGGCGTTCTCGGAGACCACGCTTGAGCTCCATATCCATGTGTGTGTATCTTTGTTTGCATTCGGTGAGCGAGACACCCATCTTGGCTAGGAGTTTGGCAAGTCGCTTTTGCCCTGCGTCGCTCCAGATGTGTAGTTTGGCGGAGAGATAGGGCGAGTGCAGCATGCTTTCGTAAAGAGACCAATGCCGGAGGAGAAGGAAACGCGGCTCGGGGGAGAGGCGGATGGACTTGTCGGTTGCTGAGAGAGCGCTTGTTGGGATCACACCCCATACTTCGCCCATTGTTGCATTGCGGGACACACTCGAGGCGTCTGTGACAGGGTTCAGTCGCCGTACTTCGTCTCGCAGGACAGATCGTATGTTCTCTCCGCGGTTGCCATTCCAGCCTGCTGAGCCACCTTGTGCTGAGAGGGGATTCAGGCCAACACCGCTTCCTGTCCGCCCGTATAGTTCCAGACTGCTGACACCAACGATCGCATTCCATAGCAGATCGTTATCTTCGCGACCGAGTTCCGATGCTAGGTTGTACACGAGGGAAGAGACGGGGTCTGAGTAGGAGGTACCGAGTCCGTAGTATTTGTCGAGTGTGGATGCGTACTTGTTCCGCTTCTTGATTAGCTGCCTTCGTAGGCTCTTCAACGACTTCTCTTTCGGTGCGGCTACTGATGGAGATACGGAGCGGCTGCGGGAGTCTGAACGAGAAAAGTCGGAGGAGCCGCCTAGTTGTTGCGCTGCTAGCAGGCCTCTTCGCCGTCTCGGTTCGGGTGACGATGGTATTGAGCCTCCCTGGGCAATGTTAGCATGGCCTCCGTCTGAACATCGACTATACATACCGAATTACTCCTCCGTCTTTGTGCTGGCCGCTCATCATCTGTCATGTGATCCTCGGAGTCGTCTTCCTCCCCCCACGACTTCCTCTTTTTCGGTGCTTGTCCAGACGGCGGCTCCTCATCATCTGGATCGTCCGAGTCGTCGCTGATGTCGTCTTCCTCCCCCACCTCTGGCATCTCCTCAAGCCCAGCGTATGCTTCACGCTCTGCTTGTAGTTCTTCGTCGATGTCACCGTCGTCAAAGACTATAATCCCACCTCTTGACGACTGGTATGACTGCGTGATCTTGCCCTTGTCCACCCCCGCCTGTCTCCGCACAAACTCTCCCGTTGCGGGGTCCTGACTTATGGGGGCGGCAAAAACGTTCGTCAGATTCCACGGCCGTCTCGCGTCCAAGAGCCAGACCTCGACATCGCCAGTGCCACCCTCGCCATCCTCGTCCACATCCAGGCCTAGGATCTCTTCCATGTCCACCATGCCTCCGACGCCCAGACATATTACGACGCCTCCACTTCCACCGTCTGTTGTCCGCATCGGCCGAACCAGCTCTTCTGCCGCTCGTGATAGGTCGCCATATCCTGCTATCGGTTGGATCTTATGTTGTATGTAGTCGCGCTTCAATAACGCGGTAAGGATTCGGCAGGCACAAAGCGCGTCTGGTTCGAGGGCGACGAGGAGTAAAACGGGCGGTGCAGCGGCATGTGTGCGTTTTATGAGGTTCTGGTATAGGTGGGCTATGAGGTTTCGCGGAAGGTACATGGCGGCGGCGGTAGAGTGGTTTGCCCTGCGTGCGGGTGTCGAGAAAACGCGCTGCGAGACGCGTCGGAAGGATTTGAGAGGGGCTGGTGGGGCGGCGTGAAGCTTATGGTATGCTCTGCATTTGCGGGGCGAAGAATAGAAGACGTGATTAAAATAAAGAGTATGGCAGAAGGACAATTGGCATGCGTGGGTGCGGGTGCTTGCACAGCTCGTATGCGTGTGGTATCGAGGATGCCCGAGACGCGTTCGGCGCTAGCCGCGGAAATGGCTTCGCTCGGACGCGCCTCTGACGTGAACATTCACCCTCATCTCGATTCCGATCGCGACTCATCTTCGACAAACACAAGGTTCGTGACATGATACACTGAGAGCAGTCAAATCTTTGACTTTCCATTCACGTCGTCTCCTTTTGCTTTCTGATGCGTTCAGTTCCCCAGCTTACGCCTATGTTCGAGGCAACTGACGCAGTCAGACAGTCGCCGCCACGTGTAAGTAGTCCATCCATCTACCATATACCCAGAGCATGCATTTGGCTCCGCCCATCCCAATGCTTTATGAGCGTCATCGAAATTGCAATCAAAACTTTTCCTCCTGCTCATTGCACTCCACCTTGCATCATGTTGTCATTCATGATCAAACCTCAGCCAATCCCGTCGCCCTCATCCTTTCTCAGGTCTCCAGGCTCATTGCCTTAGTTGAAACCGAAATGCCACTCTGGCTCTTGCTTGACAATCGGAATGTTCGTTTTCTGGCTCCAATCGGCTTGACCTTGAGGATGAAGTACGCCGTTGGCATCCAAGCGACCAGCAATGCCAGATTCCACATCGCCGCTGCGATGATCAACCCCACCTTCACGCTTGATACGCATGGGCTCCAGCTGCACCAAGCATGGTACAATGTCGTAACGCTCGTCAAGCTTCTCTCCACGGGCATCACCCCACTTGGTGAGACCGGGATTGACCACGAATGCCACCACTCCATCGTTGAAGTCATCGCCTTCGCGATCAGGTACAGATGTCATCTCGCCCTCGGCAAACATGCATCCGGTGGAAGGGTAGGTGATCTGAAGGCGGCACCGTTGGAGTGACATTTGCACAGCCAATGCGAAGGCTTTGTCGACAATGCTATGCACTTGAGAGCTATTGCTTCCAGGGAACATCTGCTTGAGGAAACTCTCCCATTCGCTTGCCAACTCCTTGCTAGCATCGATACGTGCTGTCTTGATACGTTTGGATGTTGGTTCCAAAGTGTCATCATTGCGGACGACTGCGTTTGCTGATTCGCGTAGGCATTCCGCTGTGCTGCGACGCCAATTCTCGCACACGACTGACGGCGAGGGCCAGTCATGGTTGTGATCGCTCCCGAACAGCTCATGCCAGGCTTCGTTCACGCGCTCCACGTTGTTTCCGAAGACCGCGAAAGGGTTTCGGAAGACACTCTTGACGAGGAGAGCCCATGTCCAAGCTTCAAGGAAAGTCTTCTTCCGAGCTCGGCTCTGCCAGTGATGCAATGAAACATCATTCAGAAAGAGTGCCGAGTCTACAAGTTTTGAGACATCAATGTTCTCGGTAGACTGAAACGAACGACTGAAAGTCTTGACTGAGGAAGCGAGCACCTGGAAATCTCGCTCGAATTGGCTGTCAGAGACGACTCGTACCTGCTCGATTCTACCTAGAGCGTCTTGCTGGAGATCTGTGACTTGCTTACGAAGGCCGGCACACTCAGCCTGCAGGTTGTTCATTTCCTGATGCGCAGTCTGGCTGCGGCCTTCTACGTCGGAGTTGCTCTTCTGTAACTTTTTCACTTCGTCACGCAAGACTTCCGCTTCCATAGCGTCTCGTGATAAAGGTCCCAGAACGTCATCGGTTACTTCGCCGGAGGCTTCGTCCATGCGAAAACCTTTTCTGCGGGCGTAAGGAATCACCACATCGTGCAGGACCTCGTTGTATCGTTTCACCAGTCCGGAGTATGCCGTCTTGAGCCTTGCAATCTCGCCTATCGAAGCCCTGCCATCGCTCCGAGCTTTGCGTGCTTCTCCGATCAGACTATTGGATCGATGTTTCTCTTTTTGTAGCTCTTCGTTGCGTTCTTGAAGGGCGTCATTGAGGTGTTGAATAAGGGAAGCTGGGCTATCGTCAAGCTGGCGTTGGGTGTCTTGTCTTGCGTTCGCGTTTCCACTTGTCTGGCTCCGGAGTAGCCTGTCCTGGCGATGCTCCGTTGATGAAGCTGGTCGCTTGTTATTGCCGCTCATGTAGTTAGTCTATGTTGAATCATTAGTATCAAGATAGTGACGCATTCGGCTGGATGTATTGTTCACCATGGATCCAACTGCTTTCTTCCCAAAGAGCAGCATGCGTCAAAGTAGTATGGATAGCTTGTAGGATGGGTGGTACAGGTAGAAGAGAATAGTGTATTCCAGCAAGATGTAGAAGAGTGCAGAGTTGGGCTAATATAGTTGTAGTTATGAGTGAGATTGACTCACTGAAGCTACGGATTGCCTTCACTGTCCAACTTTACTTGGTAAGTCTGCAGATAACAACTGTAGCAAATTCTGACTTTCTGGCATCTAGCATGATGGATTGCAATAGAAAGACTGCCTTTACCTTCACTCTCTATCCTGTCTTTCCTCTGCAACGACTTTATGCGGGTATATAAACCTATCATTATCTACTGCTTTGCTTTCCTCAACTCCAACTTCAACTCTTCCTTGAAAACGATCATACCTTGGATCACCGGAGCTACTACGCATCATCATGGAGGGCAATCGGCTTGTGATAGGTCTCGACTATGGCACAACGTACACTGGTAAGTTCATACAAAACGCTACTGCGCCCGCGGACAAAGAACTAACGTAAGCAGGCGTATCTTTCTGTGAATCGAGCAAGGACAAGCAGGCAGATCACATTGAAGTGATTCACGACTGGCCGTCACAGAGCAGCAAGAATGCAACGCAAGAGAAAGTACCTAGCGAGGTCGCTTACCGTGAAGAAGGCATTCTGTGGGGTGCACTCATCCCAGCAGATGTTCCTCGCCATATGTGGACAAAGCTTCAACTTGACCCCCTTCAAGTCGGAGAAGTCACGAAGATCAACCGCGAAATTGCGATGTCCAAAGGAAATGCGAACAAGCAGCCCGATGACGTCATCACCGATTATCTCGCACAAGTCAAGGCACACCTACTCAAGAACTTGGACCAGAAGTATGGAAGGACTCTCTGGCGAACGATGCCAATCACACTAGTTGTCACGGTACCAGCTACATGGTCTGACCTAGCCAAATCACGTACACTGGAGGCTGTCAACAAAGCGGGCTTTAATACGCTAGAGTTTCCGCAACCGGTGACGACCATTCTAACCACCGAACCCGAGGCAGCTGCCATCTACACGATAAGAACTTTTCGTGGTAAGTCAAACCTCACACATGCGTTGGCTAACCCAGGAGTACTTCGCATGTGTTTCTAACACCATTTGATGCTGAAACGCCATCTGAAATACTCTTGGCCTATCTGAACAGACTCCCTTTTCTCGCCTCTACGCTCATTCGCTGCAAAGATCTGGCTAACCATTTCATGAACAGGTACAACACAAGACGCTGAATTCGCCGTAGGTGATGGGTTCATTGTCTGCGATATGGGAGGAGGTACTGTGGATCTGTAAGAAAGCCCAAATGCGGATCACATGCGAGGCAAACACTGACTCTGGGTCCGACTCACAGCATCTCGTATAGGGTTACTGGCCTCAATCCAACTGTCATCGAGGAAGCCACAGTGGGATGTGGTGATCAATGCGGCGGCAGCTCTGTTGATCGTGCCTTCTTACGATGGCTTGAGGGTCGCATTGGAACGGAAGACTTCCACAAGATCGCCGGCTGCAGGAGTGAAGAGGTCAAATACACTTCGTTGGAGAAGAGAGCTGCTACTATGCTCCAGCAGTTTACGTCCGGCCCTAAAGCAGGTTTCACTGGAACCGAGTCGTACATTATGCCGTTGCCGTTCCCGTTAAGCAGGATCGAAGACGACGAATCTCGTGGAATCAGCGATGGAGAGATTACTGTCACGCCGTAAGTCCTTCCTTCTAGCCCAGACACATTGTTACTGACTTAAGAAGTGACGATATGGCGAGTATGTTCCAGAAGTCCCTCGCCGGCACATACAAGCTTGTCGCCAAGCAATACGGAGCGGCTACTAATACCAAGAAGATCAAGATGAAGGCAAGTTCAAGAATCCTCATTGTAAACCTCTCGCTTACCATACTAGTACATCTTCATGGTCGGTGGATTTTCTGAGTCCCCGTACATGCGCAACAAGGTCACGGAATTTGCCAGCGAGTTCAAAATGGCAGCAAAAGTACCGAACTATCCGTAAGCATTAACAGAGTTCGATCTTTGGTTTGCGCTGACATATAATACAGTTGGTCCTCTGTCTCTCGAGGGGCAGTCGCTGTCGGTCTGGAAGCACAGAAGCCAGAGCAAGGAGTTGTCCAGAACCGGAAGTGTCGCAGATACTATGGCATACCTGCTACTACGTCGTTCGAGAGTGGAGAGCATCGGGAATCCGACGCCTACATCGACAGGCACACCGGTGAAAAGAGGGCTAGAAATCAGGCCAGCTGGTTGCTCAGCAAAGGTCAGGATCTTGCAAGTACCACTCGGGCTCCACACACAACGATGTCCTTTTATACGAAGTTCTGGCCCCACGAGGCGAGAACACACAGAGTAAAACTTATCGCGACGAACTCCGATGAGGCCCCTCAACATTCCTATGACAAAGTAAGAACACAGCTGACCGTACTGTTCTTATGCTAACATGTAATAGGGTGTGTTCTCCGTCGTAGTCCTTACGATCGACTTGTCCAAAGTTCCCAAGAAGGAGTTCAAGGCCAAGCGATCTCCGGATAGGAGCCAATACCACGAGATCAGTTTCGACGTTGAGATCTCTATCCAGTCTGCTCTGCAGTTCTCTTGCTCAGTCAAAGGTAAGAACGTCGGCTCCATCACTGCGAAGTATGAGTAGCAGCCTACATTACACTTACCTGGAAACATATGCTTCTCATATGTGCAAAGTAGCTTTCACGGTTCCGACTTCTGGAATATGGCATTATTCTTTCTCAGCTTCACTTTCGCGTATGAACTCTCAAGATGGGGAAAAGGAAGAGAGAGTGCGGGTGCATTCTGGATAAAAGCGTAGCTCATCGGAGAGATTGGCTAAGTTAGCGTTGATTTCATTTTCTTCATTGCAGCAAATTCCGAACTTCTTCGATAGCTACACAGATAGCTGAAAAGCCACTTCCCTCAAACTCAAATGCACTCTAAACTCCCTCCTCCCCTCCCACCGTGCCACCACATCCTACCCACCACGCCACAACCACCCCATCACCCCCTCCAACCACGCCTCCCTCAGCAAACCCCCTTCCAACCCCTCAACAATCATCAAACCCCCACCAATCACCACCTGCCCCTCTGCCAAGCCCCCAAACTCTCTCGGCCCAACCGTCCCTTAGCACCACGCACTAAGTCACGTTACCTCCATCTCATGCGCGTCATCTCACCAACCATGCCCTTTCCAGCCATACAGCCGATGCGAAAAGTGGGGCCCAACGATCCCCAAGGCAATGAGTGTGAAACGGCGATCGTGGGAAAGGTTTAGGGTGCTGTGTGGCGTTTGAGCTTGACGGGCGGCGCGGTGGCTTGGGTTAAACGCGAAGACGCGCGAGTGTACGCGAAGCACGCGATGGGGGAAGCGAGGCGAGGGGCTGGGTGGCTTGGGTTGGGTCCGGCAGTGAAGGGAGGGGGGATGTGGTGCGAGTATGGGCTGGAGCGAACCGAACCATTACCAGTTTTTTCTTGATGGGGCAAGCAGATGGGGGCTGTGGTGGGAATAGTGTAACGTGTTTGCATTGATGGGAGTGTCTGGTAGAGAGACGGGATGGACTGCGGCTCGAGGGAAATGTATTCCACGGTCTCGATGACCTGTTTGTTGGATAGATGGACCTCTCGTCCACCGGATGAGCGTGCGACACGTTCATCCTGTCACTCAACCGTCCCCAAACCTTCTCCATCCTCACTGCGCGATGCGAATGCAGCCCAACACGGAAACCACGAACCCAGCTAGCACAAGATCTCGTCTCCGTATCGCCGCATGAGCATGGCCTGTGTTAAGTTAGGCACAAATTTGCCCGCACAAGAATCTCGTACCATTTTTCGTCAGCTGTGACGGGAAACCCCGGTGTGTTGCTACTGCACGGCATCGCCCGATGTCACCAGGCAGGTTTTCGCGGCTGTCGATCACTAGTTCAAGCGCGAGTCTGAGACTGGAAGTGCGCAATGAGATCTACGCTACACGTTCGCTTTCGCATGTGACGGTGGTAACGAGCCGAGTGGCCGCCTTTGTCTTCCAAATCTTTCAGGGCTTGCGCGCGCTGGTAGTGTGTGTTGCGGCTGCAGGTACGGCATCGGGGGACGCGATGCAAAGGAAGGTCTCATTTTCAAGCGCATCACTCATAGGGATTCAGTGTGTAATTTTGAATTGTTTGTATTTTGAGTTCGGTGGGCGGTGTGTTTTTTTGATCCCAAGGAGGGTAGGGTTACTACTCTCTCCGTTGACAGTGTGATACCTAGTACCGTAGCGATGTATAAGAAAGGAACAAAAAGAAAGACGACATCATGTTGTCGTGATTAATGACTCCGTACCCAAATGCATAATGCCCTCGTCATAACACCATGCTGATAAAGAAAAGCGTGGGGACGACGACGTCCGAAACCACGCGCAAACCGAGAGTGTAGAAAGGGTTGAGACAGCTAAGTCAAATATCCATCGAAAACTGAATGAACGAGACGGACGCGTGATGCGATACCTTCTCCAACGTGTGCTTATTATGTGAACTCGGCCTAGTCATCATATTTTCGACCAGGGGAATTCTTCCTCTGCCTCGTCCTCGCATGACAAAATCTTGATATCGGGGCGAAACTCGAGCAAGCCGGTCGCAAAATCTCGATATGGAGGAAGTCGATCGCGGTCTTCCTAGGCCTTATAATCCGTCTCCTCTTGAATCTTGATATCGGGCCAAAACTCGGGCAAGTCCATCGCAAAATCTCGATATGGAGGAAGTCGATCGCGGTCTTCCTAGACCTTATAATCTGTCTCCTGTTGAATCTTCTGATCCCATGGATCAACATTTTGATGATCGACGTACGAGGGTACCATGTTAAAGTTCATGGAGTTGTACACCTGTTGACCTGGGTGACCTGGGTGACCTGGATGACTTGGATGACCTGGGTGGAATGGCATCCGTGGTGGTTGTGCGAGAGTGGAGGAAGCGTACAAATTCATGCTATTTGGGTACGCTGGCAGAGGTGGGGGGTCAGAGCCCAAGTTGGTAGGCAGGATGTAGCCAGAGTCTTCTCTCCTCCTCTTGGATGGCTCGTAATCGTAGGCGGAGTGGTCGATGGGTGCCTGTGTGGTCGGTTCTGGGTTTAAGGGTAGAGTGTATTCTTCCCTTCTTCTCTTTGACGACTGGAACTCGTAACTGGGGGCGATCTGTGCCTGGGAGGTAGGCTCTGAGTCTGCCTGGAACGAACGCTTGTTGTTCATCATCCCTCTAGCTTCTTTGCGCAACCTGAGTCGAACGCCCTGGTCGGAGAACGCCCGCGAGAGATACGTCGACTCTTCGAGACCCTTGAAGTCTTTGGGAAGTACGACGTCGAACTTCTCACTAAGTACAGAGCCGAGGTTCTGTACCTCCCCACGTGAAGGGTGGAACTCGTACATGCTGAAACAAAGTCTGAAGCTGCCCTGAATCCGGACAGAAATATCGCCGAAGACGAAGAAACCGCCGTCCTTGTTATTAACATCCTTAAGACGATGCAGGGACGACACCAGTGTGCCGGCCATGGATTCATTGGGAGTGTGCTCGACGGGCTCATCTCTGTCCGCTTTGTACAGGGATGCACTGAGGAAGATGTAGGGGTTTTGTAAGAAGCTGTTCGAGGCGTCAACGCCATCCCGAAGGTTGAGCTGGAGAATGGGTGGAGGATCCACAGGCTTCCGGAACTTTTCCTTGCTCTTGACCGCGACCAGTGCCTCTTTAGGCTGCTGGCGGACGGACAGGTAACAATTGTTCGGGCTCAAAGGCTCGGGGCCTTGACTGGCGACTGGTAGTGTGACAGGCATGTGCTGTTGATAGTAGGGCTGGTTATACTGCGGCGGCATCGGGTGGTGCGGATACATGGTTGGGATGTTCATGTTCATGGTCTGGCCCTCTGTAGCAGAGGTCGGCGGTCGTAATCGTGTTGTAAGGAACCCAAGGATCAAGTCTCAGAGACGCCCGAGAATGTGGAGGTGAGATGGAGTCGTCCGGTCGAAAAATACTGAGAACATAAGAGAATTTGGAAATTCGGCTAGCGACCTTTGAGAGAAATACGCGAAAGGTGACCAATCGAACAAAGGCTTGAGTCACTACGGAGTGCAGTGCCGCCCGAAGGTGCTGCGTGACCAGTGACTGTAGTGGTAATGAGCGATGAAAATGCGAGTGGATCACCGTTCCATGGGTGGAGGACCCTTTTCGGAGAAAGTACCGTCAAAGCGCGGCTGCCTGCTCTCAGTGTTCCAGTTCAGCACAGTCGATAATAATGCGTGACTCCTCGTATGGTATGCGCTGCCTTTCTTAAAACTGGAGGCACCTCTTGAAAGCGTCGATATCAGAATGGCGCGCGCGGGAGTGGATCTGGCGCTCGTCTTCCAACGGGACCGAACTAAAGGCCCGCCTGCGGAGAGAAGGTTGACTCCACCCTTGACCGTGACTTCCAACAGAAATAGGCGCAGATATAAGCAACAACAAAAAATGTGTACTGCGCCTGCGTCGCTCAGCACCTGCAGTGTGGAACCCGTAGAACACTGTACTTTCCGCACTGTCTCCGCAAGGCATAGCACCAGCTTGATGTCGAAGAGGAGTTTGCGATTGAACTGAGGTTACGCAGGTCTGGTACCGAACCGTGGTCGAGAGTGCCCTGGTGTGCTCCGAATATTACAACAAAGAGGGCCGTTTCCAACGGCTTCGAGGGTATTAGTGTCGTGCTGGTCGACCAGTCAAGCAGCGATGACGTGTCGGGGGGTAAGTCTAGGGTAATCTGGTAATATTAAGGAATTAGAAGTGAAGGTCAGAGGAAGAGCGTCGAGGGCGACGACGTCGCAGTGCTCATGAAGGAAGACGCACAAGAGTAAGACACAAGATAGAAGAGCTGGCAAGGGTACCTTGAGGTAGTCGTCTTAATCGGGGCTCCTCTACACTCGTGCTTCCGTGGCGGCTTCGACGGTGATTCGTCGCTTCCCGTCTAGTCTCGAGTGCAACTGGTGCCGAGCGCGGCCGATCAGTGCTGTAGGGTCTCTCCGAGCTAGCGTGCTAAGAGATGAACGAGCGGCGGCGTGAATCATGCGAACAAGCTCTAGTGCAGCCAATCGAACGTCGCCTGGGCTTCTTTCTTCTTCTGTAGGCACGGTCGCTTTGGAAGCTAAGGTTTCTCGCTTGTTGACACAGGCCTGGTTGATTTTGCTCTTGCACCTCGTCGAGTCCGGAGAGGGCTGCAGTGTGGTTGATGCGTTCTGCAGATGACGTCGAGGGTACAATCGAAAACGACAGGACGGTATGCACTCAGCGAGATACCGGGTTCGCGATGGAAATGGGACCTTGTCCAGCCCGCTGGTGCATGTGTCAGCGTGCAAGGACGGCACGGCGGGACGAGGTACAAGAAGACAGGCTGGTCGCAGATGCTGTGCCGTAGTGCAGCGACTGTTCTATATGCTCAACAGCACTTTCGAATGAAGCCGAAGAGAGCCCAAGGGTCGTTTGGCGCTAGAATGCAGCAATAGCCCGTCCGCACTATGCTGCCAGAGCGAGGGTAACCCATGCAGCCGGATGGCAGAGCCTGGCTGCACAGACTGCGCGGCAGTAGAGCAAGGATAGCGAGACGGCTTGGATTCAACGGCAATCCCAGGTTTGGGGTTGGTAGGGCACTGTC